CTGTTCCTGACCTCCATAACTCCCTTCTAAACACCCCAAAATCCTCTCCTGACCCCAATAACTCCCTCCTAAACACCCCAAACTCCCCTCAAAGCTGTCCCTGATCTCTCTAACTCCCTCCTGAACACCCCAAAAACCTCTCCTGATCTCTGTAACTCAATCCCAAACACCCCAAAAGCTGTTCCTGATCTCTGTAACTCAATCCCAAACACCCCAAAAGCTGTTCCTGATCTCTGTAACTCCTCCCTAAACACCCCAAACTCCCCCAAAATCCCTTCCTGACCCCCCAAACCCCCCCAGCACTCACGGCCAGGCACCAGTGCACGCCCAGGTGGATGGGCACGAGCAGCAGGTCCACGGAGAAGATGTCCACCTTCTTGGTCCACCTCTTGACGGCGCCGTAGCCGGCCGAGCGCAGCTTGGTGAAGAAGAAGGTGTTGAAGGCGTGCACGGCCGGCAGCCCCTTCTCCTTGCTCCGCTCCATCAGCAGGTTCATGTAGAAGTTGATGATCTAAAGGGGTAAAAAAAAAAAATAGCAGTATTAAGTGGGGATTTTTTGGTGGTTTAGAGGGTTAAAGATAAAAAAAGAGGGGAAAAAAAGCCAGGAATTTGGGGTTGGGTGAGTGGGGATTTATTGATGGGGAGTTTTTTTTTGGTGGTCCTGGTCATGGCTATGGCCATTTATTATTATTATTATTATTATTATTATTATTATTATTATTATTATTATTATTATTATTATTATTATTATTATTATTATCACCATCATTATCATCATAATCATCATTATCATTATTATCATTATAATATTATTGTTACTATTATAATTACCACCATCATTATTATAATCAGAATTATTTTTACTATCGTAATTATTTTATTACAGTGATAATTGGTATTATTATATTATTTTTATTATCATTATTCGATACTAATAATCATTATTTTATGAGTATAGTTATATTTTACTGTAATTATTATAATTGCTATAACTATTATGATAATAATAACTTTATTACAATTTTCATTATATTAATAATTATTTTATCATCATTATTTTCATTATTTTATCATCATTATGCTGATCGCTATTACTATTTTATTACCATTACTTTATTATCTTTATTATCATCATTATATTATTAATTTTATTATCATAACTATCATCATTATGGTATTATTTTATTATCACTATTATTTTTATAATAATTATTTTATTATAATTATTATCACGATAATTATTATTTTATCATTATTATGATGGCAATCATTATCACTACAATTATTATAACGACCACTATTTTATCATTACTACAACCATTATAATCACCATTATTACTATTTAATCATTATTATCATCACTATTATTTTATCATTACTGTGATCATCACCACTATTATTCTAATTATTGTGATGATCATTATTTTATCACTATTATAATTATTACCATTACTTTATTATAATTTATTATCATTACTTTATTATAATTTACTATTTCAATTATTATTATAATTACTTTATCACTATTACAATTATTGTTATGACCACAATTTTATCATTATTACGTTATAATCACCATTATTACTATTTAATCATCATTATCACCACCACTATTACTTTACGATCACTATTTCACCCGCTATTCCCGGAATTCCCGGAATTCCCGACCTCGTCGTTGAGCCAGTTGAGGTTGTTGAGGGTCTGGATGTCCTTGCGGGTGATGGTGAGACGGAAAGCCTCGCTCAGCACCTCGTCCTGGTTCCCGCCCCGGAACACGCTCTTGATCTCCTTCTCCATCTCCTGCGGGACCACACGGAGCTGGGAATGCTGGGAATGGGAATTCCCGACCCCCCCGGCACGGGGGGAGGGGCACAGACGGGCTGGGGAATTCCTGATCTTCCAGCCCGTCCCAAAGGATCCACCCAACTGATCCCAAAGGATCAGCTCAACTGATCCCAAAGGATCAACCCCAACCCATCCCAAAGGATCAACCCCAACCCATCCCAAAGGATCAGCCCAACCCATCCCAAAGGATCAGCCCAACCCATCCCAAAGGATCAGCCCAACCCATCCCAAAGGATCAACCCAACTGATCCCAAAGGATCAAACTCAACCCATCCCAAAGGATAAACCAAACTGATCCCAGGGGGGTCCCAAACGGGCTGGGGAATTCCTGATCCTCCACCTCATCCCAAAATATCAACCCAACTGATCCCAAGGAGGTCACAGACGGGCTGGAGAATTCCTGAACTTCCAGCCCATCCCAAAATATCAACCCAGCTGATCCCAAGGGGGTCACAGATAGGTTGGGGAATTCCTGATCTTCCAGCCCATCCCAAAGGATCAACCCCAACCCATCCCAAAGGATCAACCCCAACCCATCCCAAAGGATCAAACTCAACCCATCCCAAAGGATCAACCCAACTGATCCCAAAGGATCAACCCCAACCCATCCCAAAGGATCAACCCCAACCCATCCCAGGGGGATCCAAGCCAGGCTGGACAAAGGGAACTGAACAATGGAACTGGGAATTCCTGGGCTTAACCCAACTGATCCAAGGAGGATCCAAAATATTTGTAAGAAAATGAAGCAAATTTGCAATAAAAAAATAAATTTGCAATAAACTAAAATTTGCAATTAAAAAATTTGCAATAAACTAAAATTTGCACTTAAAAAAATAAATTTTCACTAAAATAAACTTTGCCCTTAAAAAAATATAGTTGCAATTAAAAATAAATTTGCACTAAAGTAAATCTGCACTTAAAAAAATAAATTTCCAATAAAATAAACCACATTTTCCATCCAATCCAATCCAATCCAATCCAATCCAATCCAATCCAATAAATTCGCCATAAAATAAAACTCGAGGCTGGTTTTTTTTTTTTCCTGACAGGTTAATAAATTGTCTGCTGTCCCAAACCACCCCCCACCCACGGGGCTGTTTGTCACCCACCTCGGTGATCTCTGGGAATTCCTCCTCTCCCTCAGGACCCTTGGGATGCTCCTCCTGCTCCTGCTCCGGCCCCACCGTCACCGGGATCTCCTTCTCCAGCGGCACCCGCAGGTTCAGATCCACCCGCCCGGGCAGCGCCTGCTCCCGCTGCTGCAGCCGCTGCAGGAACCCACACGGTGTCAGTGGGATCCACGGGGATCCACAGGGATCCACTGGGATCCAGGGAGTCACTGGGATCCACAGGGATTCACCCTTTCCCACACAGGTTCAGATCCACCCGCCCGGGCAGCGCCTGCTCCCGCTGCTGCAGCGTGGACATGGTGTCAGTGGGATCCACAGGGATCCACAGGGATCCATTAGCATCCACAGGGATCCAGGGAGTCAGGGATGGAGTCAGGGAGTCACCCCTTCCCATACAGAGCATTCCCTGATTCCAGAGATCAGGAGGATTTAGGGATGGAGTCAGGGATTCATTCCTGCCCACCCAGGGCATTCCCTGATTCCAGAGATCAGGGGGATTCAGGGATGGAGTCAGGGAATTCACCCTTCCCACGAGTCCAGGGACATGGCAGTGTTTGAATGATGCTCCCAAGGATTTGGGATCACTGGGATTTGGGGGGTCCTGTGCAGGGCCAGGAGCTGGGATTTTGGGGATCACTGGGATTTGGGGGGTCCTGTGAGAGGGCAAGAGTTGGACTTCAGTCCTCGTGTGTCCCTTCCCACTCAGGATATTCCATCATTCCTTTTCTCCCTTCCCTCCCCCCTCCCAAACTGGATCCAATTTTTCCCATTTTCCCCCCATTTTCCCACCCTTTTTTGCTCTGGGATTCCCCCTCCAGACCTTCCTCCTCCTCCTCCTCCTCACCTGGTTCTGGAGCTGCAAAGCCAAAGCTTTTTTCTCCTCAATCTGCCTCAACCTCTCCCGAGCTCGGGAATCGTAAACGCTGGTCCTGGAAAAAAACCACCTTTTTAGGGTTTTTTGGGGGATTGTAGGGGGGGAAAAAACATCAACCTTTTAATTTCTCATCCTCCATAAAAAAAAATAGAGAAGGAAAGATGAACTTACAGCTCTTTGATCCACAGCTCTGCCTGGAAGAAGGGAGGGCTGGAAAAAAAAAAGAGGGAAAAAAAAGGGAGAGATTTTAGTGGTTTTCCCCCTGGTGGGAAAAACAGGGAGTCATGGCTTGAAAAGTGGGGTCTCCTGGTGAAAAACCTTCTCCCTAAATAAACCAACAACCCCCCCTTTTCCTTCCTTCCAGGAGCTCCTTCTTCCCTCATTCCCAGGGTTCTCACCTCGGGGCCGACGTCCTGGGATCCTTCACCTTCAGCAAAATGACGGAGTCGGAGCCTGAAGGGACAGGAAAAAAGTCACTGGAACTTCCATTTTCCTCACTCATTTTCCTCACCCACCTCTCCCATCCAGGCAGGAGAAAGGTTTGGATGGGAATTTCAGTCCCTTGCCAGTTTTTTTTTTTTTTGGGGGGG